TCTGTCATCCCTGTGCTGACCCGTGGCAGGAAGTTCCGGCCCCAGGCCCTGGGAGGGAAGAGAGCCTCCACCCAGCCTGGATGCTGCTTCAGGTCCTTGTGGTCAGGCTGCGCTGCTGGGCCTTGTGGTCAGGCCGCTGAGACCTCCAGAGAGCACCCCTGGGATTCTCCAGAGAGACAGAACCAATGGAGGTAAACCCTCGATGGAAACAGACACCGCGTACTCGGGAACACCACAGTCCAGGCCAGGCCCGCGGGCAGCTCCCGTAATGCCCTGGGAGTCCACCTTCAGGAGGAGGTGCTTGTGTTCTGAGTCACTTAGGGGTTACGATCAGACTCAACCCTGAATCGTGTGATAAAGGCTATCTTTTTGTTTTGTTTTGTTTTCCTTCTTTATCTCTTGGTGCTGGGGATTGAATCCAAGGGCGCTTTACCACTACATCCCCAGCCCTTTTAATTTTTTTTTTTTTTTTAATTCTGAAGCAAATTCTTGCTAAATTGCTAAACTGGCCTTAAACTTGTGACCCTCCTGCCTCAGTCTCCTGAGTAGCTGGGATTACCGGCATGCGCCACCCTGATCTTTTTTTAATAAGAATTCTGAACATGTCAGAAAATTATAGGTAACAAACTCCCCACCACCAGTTCCCCTGGCCACCTCCTGAGCTGTGGGGTCTGGCCTCTTCTCTTGAGGGGACTGGGCCAGAAGGTTCTGAGACCCCTCAAGCTAATGGTGTGGCCACATTTATCTGCTCACTGCAAACCCCGGCTCCCCAGTGCCTTGGCCCCTGCAGGGGCTTTCCCACCCAGCTGAGGGTGGCCTTGTGTTTACTAAAGCTTCAAGCAAAGAGCATGTTCTTCTCTTCTGAGCCTAAGCTCAGGCAGTTAGTGATTCGAGTCTAGTAGGTAACTTAGTACTAACCAGATTACTCATTCTCTCAGGGGCCATATCTATCTGCCTGTCCGTCTGTCTTTCTGTTCTGCGTGCTTACTGCTTTACTATGAGCCAGCCCTTCTGAAAGCCTGTTTTTGTGTCTTAATTCATTTAAACAGCACTGCAACCCCGTGTCTATTACCATTCTCCTTTTACAGTTGAAGAAACTGAGGCAAAGATAAATGAACAACTCGCCTGAGGCTGCACAGTCAGGAGGTGGCAGAGTCTGATTTTGAACCCCAGGACATCTGGCTCCTGAGCCTGCATGTCACCCCCATGCTGTCCAGCCCCTCTCCGTGAGCCCTGGGAAGAAGGTGCAGGGGGCCTCTCTCCCTGGGCCTGGGGTCACACCCTCACTTGTGGACATGGGCCCTGTGCCCTGGACATCTGCGAAGCCAGTAGATGAGATCGAGCAGAGCACAGCAGGTTCTGGGGAGGGAGAAGAGAGGGCTAGGGTGTGGGGACATAAGCACGCTGATATTCCCAAATATGGAAATGAAAATAAGCCTGGTCATTCAGGGACACTGGCTACTGCCTGGTCTGCAGCACTGAACACCTGCAAGCAGAGCTCTATCCTGTCTTCAAAAATGCCCTGTGAGCTGGGCGCGGTGGTGCTCACCTGGAATTCCAGAGGCTCAAGAGGCTGAGGCAGGAGGATCACGAGTTCAAAGCCAGCCTCAGCAACTTGGCGAGGCCCTCAGCAACTCAGTGAGACCCTGTCTCTAAATGAAGTATAAAAAGGACTGGGGATGGGGTTGAGCTCAGTGGTTGAGTACCCCTGGGTTCAGTTCCCAGGACCGCCACCCGGGCCGGGCCAGCCTGGCTCCCTAAATGGCCTGTTTCAGGCTTCGATGGCAGACAGGTTGTGGACTGGGGATTGGAGGTGTCGTGGGCAGCCAAACCACACAGATGGTGGCCACATGTTCCTAGAACATGAAAGCTTCAAGAAACACCAACCAGCCAGAAAATCGGAATTTGTTCTCATGGAGAGCCCATTTCAGGGGGAAGTGGTTTCTGAGAGCCTCCGCAGAGCAGCTGCCCCTGCCTGGAATGTGCTCTCCTCACCCCCTTCCACCTGGATCATCTCCTGGAGCCCAGATGCTTTCTGCAGCAGCAGTGTCCAGTGAGAACTGAACAACATTATTTTTTGAGAAAGCAATAACAATTTTTTTCTTTTTGTATAAATAAAAAAGAACAAATCAATTTAAGGAAAAATGATGGTATATGTGAGGCAGAAATTTTAGTACTGAAATTCATCGATGTGTTCATTTGTGTGCTCATCAAATATTTATGGAGAGCCCTCTGTGGACTGGGCGGGGGTTGTGTTTTTCTACAACTGGGGCAAAGCCTGGTGTGTGTGTGTGCAGCCTGAGTTCCCAGGAGGAGAAAACAGGTCAATATGTCCAAACAGGTCAATATGAGAGGAAGCAGTGGACACTGCTGAGGTCAGTTCTGCAGGGGAAGGGGACAGCAATCAGGGGGAGGGGATTTAGCAGGGAGACATTTAAGTAAAGACACAGATGATGCGACTTGTCTTTAATCAGACACAATAGATAGCCTTGTATGTAAATGGGTCCTGAGCATTTAAAAGAGGGAACCTCAAGTTCAAGGCTCTGAGGCAGCAGCCTGCACGGAGTGCTCAAGGAAATGCTGTTGGCAAAGGCACACTTGGGAAATACCAGACTAGATATTGTCCAGGGTCACCTCGACCCCTGGGACCTTCTAATGGTGGCCTGGATGGGGTGCTTTCTGATTAGGGTGGTGTTATCTCAGAACCTGACTGCTGAAGGCAACCTAGGTGAAAAGATGGAACTTGAGTTCAGGATGTCCCCAAGGATGGGACGGCAGGAGGCACTCCATGTCTCCCCTGCCTTATGTTTGCCTCCTGAGGGGAGAAGAGTTGTGACTCATGAAACATTTGCTGAGTGACCTCAAGGTACCCTGCAGGAGGCTGGTTGTAGGGACAAGATGAATCAGATGCACTTGCGCGCATGTGTGTGTGTGTGTGTGTGTGTGTGTGTGTGTAGGCCCTGGGGAGGAGGCAGGGGTTCTGCTCACTGTGGGGAACCCTCAGAGTGACTCTGCAAGCCAGGCTTTAATCATGGAGCTCAGCGTGAGCACGAGCTTAGACAGGGGATTCTTGTTCCGGGAAAAGTGCCTTAAAAATCCATAGGAAGCTTTTCCCTTTCTTCTGCTGTCTGTCCTTAGAATGTTGGGGTGTTTTCCATTTGCTATCTCATGTCATTCAAAGCAAGGAAAAATAAAAACTTAGCATGAGTTTTTGCCATCCGTCTTTGTGTTTTAGAATGCTGGCTTTAAGTGCAATTATCAGAGCATTTAACCAGCGTGCAAAATCAAGAAATTATACAGTTTGTGCTGTGTGGCTCATTTCCAGGGGTGCCTTGAGTGGGCCAGAAGGAGCAACTCGAGCCAAGAGGGGGATCGGGAGTCCCCGCTGCCTGAGGGCAAACCCCAGCAGTGCCGTCCTCAGCTGTTCACGACCCATTCGGGCCTCAGTTTCGTCATCTGAACAAGGGGACTGACACTGACCTAGGAGGGTGGAAGGAGGAAGAGAGTTGGTGCAGACTCACAAGTGCCCAGCTCCCTTCCCCGCACGCACACTTGCGCTCAGGTCTGACGGTGGCTAGGTGTTTGCTCCTACCAGATGTTAGATTACTGTTCTGTTCCCTGGCCAGGGGTGGTTGGGGAAGTTGAGCCAGGTGTCTCCCCTTCCTAAGTTCCCCCCACCCTAAGCCATAGCAGATGGGTGGGGGGAACTTAGGAATCAGGACCTGCTAGGACCTGGTCAGGTGTGAGTGAGAGGCTCACTCCGTCCAAGACTCATCCTCCAGCAGGTCACCCACCAAGCTTACCGTGGTGCTGCTATCCTTGAGCCCTAGACAGGAGGGGCTACCAGTTGTCACCATGCTCCACCCAGATATAGCACCAGACCTATAGGCCTGACTTGGACCTTCCCTGCTGGGAGTGGTGGGTTGCAAGAGTCACAGAGCAGGGAGGGGAAGGGGAAGGGGGAGGCCAGGCAGGTCCTGGGGCCCCAGGGAACAGGGGAGCAGCTGCCAAGGGCCTGTTGCAGGAAGGCAGGCCAGGTCTGAGCTCAGCACCGTGACCCTAGCACTCCTTACAAAATTACAAGGGCAAAATGATGAAGTCTTTCAAGATGGCGCACAGGACACCCCACCCCGAGGCTTCGTCACCCCTGCTCTGTGACTCCTGCCCAGCAGCCCTACCAGGCAGAGATGAGCATCAGCTCCCTTGTTCAGATGAGGAAACTGAGGCCGAGTGACGTTCTGCATGAACGGCTGTATGTGCGCAGTTGGGGTCTGCACCAGGCAGTGGGGACTCCTGATCCTCCTCTTGTAGCCCTGCATTATCCTCCCTTTGTGTCACTGACCCTGGTTTTGCCCCTCACCCTGCTCGTTCACTGCACAGGGTCTCTGTGGCCTCCCCAGCCTCTATCAGGCATTTCCGCTTCAGCCTCCACCGGGGTCCACCTCAGCACTGCCTGGGCCAGGTTCCCAGTGGAGGACTCCCGCTGGCCCAGCCCCTCTCCTGCAGGTTCCACTATGGGCTGCTGCCAGCTTTCACAGCAGCGGCTCTGGGGCAGGAATATAGCTAAGGCTCATTGCCTGTGACTGGGCAGGGAGCAAGGACACATGACATGGAAACACTGGCTGCCCTTGGTGGCCCCTGGAGCAAAGAGGGTCTTGATGAGTGGGGTTGCTTAGGGGGGCTTCCCATCCTGACCCACCCCATCCAGGCCTTGTCCGATGGGAACCAGCACATCCTGGCTCTTTGTCCAGGCCCAGGCTTCTGCTGAGAGCCTTCATTCTAAAGCCAGAAGCAGGTGGCTTCCGCTGGAATGATGGCAGATTCTGGGCAGTGGTGGGAACATCACTCTTTCCGCAGGGTCAGCAGACGTGGAGTGGGCCAATTAGTGGACTTCCTCTGGGGCCTGGGGCTTCCTTGCTGAGCCTAGGCCACCACCGGGCAGCAGTCACCGTGGTGTCTGGGCAGCTCCCTTCTCACCTCCTCTCCTTTCCCCCATGTAGAGCTCCACCTGGAGGGGAACTTCCTGCACCGCCTGCCCACTGAGGTGGGCAGCCTGCAGCACCTCAAGGTCATTGACCTGTCTCGGAATCAGTTTCAAGATTTCCCTGAGCAGCTCACCACCCTGCCCTCGCTGGAGACCATCAATCTGGAGGAGAATGAGATCGTGGGTGAGTTGCCACGTTAGCCCCTGCAGGGCACAAGGCTCTGGAGTTGGGCTGTCACAGGCCTGAGGGGAAGCATGGGCTTATTGGTCCAAGACACCTGAGCATAGAGTAGTGGACCTGGGAGGGTGACCAGTGTGTGGTCCTGCCACCTGCCAGGTGATGACTTGGGCATTGGCTTTCACTGGGGGGTAGATAGCCAGAGCTTCCTACAGTGTGTCCCTGAACCAGCTGGGCCCCTGTGGACCACAGGCGGTCCCTCTCTGAGTCTCCAGATGTCTCCAAGACCTTCAGCTGGTGCCCTCTGTACGCTTACTCCCTCTGCCTTCCCGCCTTCACAGTGAGCTCCTCCCTGTTGTAAAACAGGAACCACTGGACAGAACAGCCTCCCAGGGTACACCAGGGTCCTCTTTGAGCCCAGCCTCCCAGGGCCCTCACCATTGGGCACCCATGGTGTCTGATGTGTGCCTTCTGCAAACAGCAGCCCCGGGGGGCTAGGTTCTGCTGAGCGGGGAGTGGGGGGGGGGGAGCGGCCTCCCTCCTCTGGCAGCAATTATACACCTTGCTGCCTCATCAGGACCTTGCAGAGCTGCGCGTCCTCTTGCCTAGCAGCCTAATCTCCCCAGAGAGAAGCGGGCGCCCGCTGGGTCGCAGGGTCTCCTCGCGTCCTCTCCTCCTCGGCCCTTCCTTCAGCTGCCCTGACCCCTTTCACCCTCCCATTTTGCCTCTAATTTTAATGCTGTTCTCGTGTCACCAGTGTTAATTCTAATCCCCTTCAGTTTTGCTCCTGTTTTCCTAAGTCCTTTTACAGTCATTATGCCATTTGATTAAAAGCAAAGCCTTTCAAGTGGTCTGGGCCCTCTGGTGGGGAGTGGCCTGTGCCTCATGCCGGAGGTGAGTGCCCATCTGTCAGGGATGCTGCGGGCAGGGCCATAGGCCTTGCTGACCTGTGAGGTTCCGGGGCTGTTGCCTGACCTCTGGGAAGCCTCTGGGGAGGGACTTGTGGTTCAGTGTTGAGCTCCAAGGCCAGGGTCCCTGAGCAGCCTGTGCCTGGGCCAGCTCACCAGTCACTTGGGCCTCTGCGCAGCAGAAGGAGCATGCCCAGAAGTGCTCCCTCCTGAGCTGCGCTGGCCTCTAGGCTCTGGCTGCTGGGCCCTTTGGCCCCTGCACTCTGGCCAGGCCCTCCTTGCCGGGTCCTCCCTCCCATGCCTCTCTGTCACGAAGGCCCTTCCTGCGCCTCTGCCTCCTTCCACTGCTTATCTCAGTAGGACAGGAACCCAGCAAGGGCCTTAGTAGCCATGCCAAGGCCAGAGCTGAGCAGGAGGGTCGGACAGGACCTAGCCTGGGGCATCCCCATTTCCCGACTGTGGCCTTGGAAGACTCACGTCAGCTCTCTGTACCTTGGTTTCTTCTCATCTTTCCTCTTGAAAGATAAGACCACCCCAAGAAGGACAGAGATGAGAAGGGGACTGTCCCCCCAGCAGGGGAGCAGGTGGGGTGGGCATCTGTGCCTCCTGCAGTTCATGAAGTGACTTTCACAAAGTGTGCAGTGGGGTTGGGGGGCAGACTTCCTACTGCTTCCCTTCCCAGGACAGAGCAACAGCCCCTCAGCAGAGAGAGGCTGCTTTGGCTCCTTGCCTTCTGCAGTGACAGTAATGACTACTCATAGAAGCGTCTTGTAGGTTACCCACGACACTTGTGCATACTTGGGCATGTACAGGGCGATCACCCCCATTTGACAGATGATTCACCAGCCTTCATGGCCAAGTGCCTGTGCACACCTGGTCAGGTAATCGAGCCTCCTGCAGCCCAGTCTGGGCCAGCTCTGGGGTCTATGGAGATGCCAGAACAGGGGCAGGGCTGGGGGAGCTGCCCCTGTCCAACAGATGCTCAGCAGACCCCAGGGAGGCCACTCCATGGCAGGAGGCCATGGTTGTTTTCCCTCGGCCCCCAGAGGGATATGGAGGCAGTCATTGTCCCCTGGTTGGACTCTCCCCACTGTCCCCTCTCCCTGATCCGTTCTGGTTCGTTGGGTGGCTTCTCTCTTCCCACACCAGTAAGAGGGCCATGCTCCACCCTTCACAGCCCCGTGGACGGGGGCAAGCAGCGCAGGGCAGCTGGGTGGGGGCCTAGAGCCACAGCGGTGGTGAGGACTGTGCCAAGCCCTTTGGACTTTTCCAGGTTGTCCCCATCTCCTGCAGGATCTCGTTGGGATGATCAGCAGCAGCCTGGGCGCCTTCAGTGGCTTCTCTTTTCTGAGTCCTCAGGGCATTGGAAAAATAAAACCAGATTTTTATGAGAGAGAACTTTGAGACATATGAGTTGTCATAAAGCTTTAGAACAGTGAGTAGAGAAGAGATGGGGGGCTCTGAAGCAAGCCCCCAGGTCCATCAGAAGGACTCCACCCGAGGGACCTCCTGAAGGAGCCTCCGGCCTGCCCCGGTCACCCCCTGTTCCTGAATAGTGCTGCTTCTGATCTTCCTCCATCTTTGGGCCATTTTGGGGGAAGAGGAGGATCAAGGGCTTCATTCCCTGGAGGGGACAAGGCTGGGTCCTCCGCAGGGTGCAAGGAACAGACTTCTCTTGTGTCCTTGGTGTTCAGGGTGGCTGAGTGCCCTCACGTCTCTTGTCTTGTGACATGTGGCTGCCTTTGCTGCTGCCACCCGTGCAGTCAGCCCTCTGGTCTGTATGTGGGACCCTTCTCTGTGTGAGGGTGGTCGTGTCCTCTCCTCTTGGGAGCTACCTGTTCCCTGTTCCCGCGGCAGTGAGCCTCTGGCATACAGCAGGTGCTCAGCGGGTTGGGAGCATGGCGTAGAGCAGGAAGTTGAAAGCCCTGAAGCTCCTCTAAAATAGTGGGGACACAAAAGGGCGGATTATTTCAAGTTGCAAGTTGTGATCCACGAGTGAATTGTAATGTCAAATTAGTGGGTTGAGACCATCAATTTCTAAATGGAGCAGAATAGAAAATGCCAGGGTACATCACACGGAGCATAATAATTACTATTTTGTGCTTTTTAATTTCAGTTTTACTATGTGCATTCACAGGTATGTATTCTGGGTCATGATGAAAAATTGTACTTCTTATTGTATGTCATGGCGGAAAAGTATCAAAAGGTACTCCTACATGTTGTCTCACGGAGATGTGGGGGTCTGTTCTTGGCCAACCAAGCCACCTGTCCTCCCCTGCCCATGCTCCCAACCACTCATGCAGTCTTCCTCTCATCCCTGTCCCCCGCCCCCTGCATAGCCTGTGTTCTCTGTCTGGAAGTCCTTCCTCATGTCTTACCATTCCCTCTACCTTTGGCCAAATCCTCTTGGTCTGAAGGTCTGGGGCTGTTCAGTTGGACAGGAAATGGAGCAGGTCAGGGGGCATCTTACCTCCTGCAGCTGGCGCCCTGACACACACCCAGCAGCAGATGCCTCCCATGGGAATGAGCAGCTTCCTGGGATCTTGGAGACTGGGATGTCAGGACATGGCTATTTGCTTTGGACATTTTGGGGGGGAATATTGAACTCAGGGGCACTTGACCACTGAGCCACAACCCAGCCCTTTTTTGTTTTATTTAGTGACATAGTCTTTCTGAATTGCTTAGGGCCTTGCTAAGTTCCTGAGGCTGGCTTTGAACTTGTGATCCTTCTGCCTCAGCTTCCTGAGCTGCTGGGATTACAGACATGGGCCACTGCACCTGGCTGGTTTGGACATTCTTAAGAGGGAGAAAAGGGTTTGTAGCTTAGCAGGTTTGTAGTGTAGTGCAGACAATAGCCACTTACGAGTTTCTGAGATGTGGATGGTTCTTTTACTTTCCAAACCAGAAGGATGCAATCATTCCTTGGTATCCACAGGTTTGGTTTCAGGACCCCCAAAGTTACCAACATTTGCAGATACTCAATTTCCTTATATAAAATGCAAGTATTTACATATAACCTAAGCATACCCTCTGGTGCCCTTCAAATACTCTCTGGAGCACATACAACGTAAGTGCTGTATATGTGGTTCTCCTACTGCGCTGTCTAGGGAATAATGACAAGGAAAATAGCTGTACCTGTCAGTACTGATGCAATTTTTCTCTGAATATTTTCCATCTCTGGTTGGCTCAATCTTGGATGCAGAACACAGAGACTGAGAGCCAACTATATATGGAAGGTTTTAAGTATTTATGAACAAGACTACACGGTGAAAGGCAATCTCTGTCCAAGTAGGGGTATACAGACCAATGAGTGACAGGTCCTGACATCAGGGTGCTTACAGCATTACTGTGAGCAATACGAGGCTACCAGAGAGGACCTGGTCATAGCTGCAGGGAGGCGAGACGTGCCATGGCCTGCCAGAGTGAGGATGCCCCTGCCAGGGGGTGGCTGACTATGTGACCTTGTGGGAGGCGGCTCCCCAGAGCATGAGGGAGGAGGTGAGGTGAGGCATTTAGTCTGTGAGTGATGACATGGGGTCATAATGGGTCACCCAACCTGTGAAGACTGGGAAATCAGCCTTTTCACCACAGTAGCTGACACATATGCTTCAAGGTGGGCACAGGAGAGTCATTAGTTCTCCCCACTTGCTCATAAGTACTTGCTGCTTCATAGCAATTCAGTCCTGGAACAAGTGGGAGTGAAGAGAAAATCACATATTAGGGAGACTTCATTTTGCTAAGCAGGAGACTATTTCGACTAAATGAGAATTTTACTTTCCATAGCCCTTGATACTCTGTTTTTCTTTCCTCTATGCACGCTCCCTGTTCCAGAGAGAGCAAAAGAGCATAGGAAAACAAGTTCTAGTTAAGAATTTAATTACCAGAGCTGAGCACAGTGGTACACCCTCTAATCCCAGTGGCTCAGGAGGCTGAGGCAGGAGGATCGCGAGTTCAAAGTCAGCCTCAGCCACTTATCCAGGTCCTCAGCAACACAGTGAGAGCCTGTCTCTAAATAAAAAATAAAATGGGTGGGGATGTGACTCAACAGTTAAATGCCCCTGGTTCAATCCCTGGTACAAAAAAACAATCACTGGAGCA